ATTATGCCAGGTATATTTATACTGCCTTTTCTCCAAAGATCCCTTTTCTAAATGTGATGCCTCATATTTTATCTTTCTAGCAACAACCAGGGTATGCTTGCTCCAATCTACATTGTGGATAAATATTAACAGAGGAATCTACCTCTTCATATAAGTAGATGCTTGCAGAGAGGCTTCCAAGGTGAGGCTTTCCACTGGTTTATAATAGCCTGATGCTTCTATTGAAAGTTCTGTTGCTATATTTAAGAGCAATTTTTCAGCAAGACATGACTTTATTTCTCACCTCTGCCTCTGCTCTCCCACCCTTCTTGGGACTATCTCAAAAATATCGGGACATTCCTGAATCATCATTTCAAGAAACAGTGTTCTCCCCCCACTTTTCCAAATATGCACACACCCCTTTTAAAATCTGAAACTGACGATCCAGTCATCCTGTCTCCTTTGGAATAAAAATACAGGGGTATAATCAATTAAATAACAACCTCTGTCACTTTGTGCTTTCATTTCAAGGCTGGCCCTACCTTCAATCCAGGGGAAAGGATTCCAGTGTTGTCACAAAGATAATTATCTTAGGTACATCATGAAAAGATTTCAAAATGACTTTTGAGTCAAGCTAGACTCTTGGTGACTTCATAGGCACACTCCTGCAGCTAACTCAGCCACAGGGTTGGCATCCTCCTACTTCAGAAAAAAAAAAACCTCTCAAGTTTAGCCTATAGACCTGGGACACCCCTAGTGGAATCCCACCCAAGGTCTAAACCAGGGTTCTTCAAAATGGTTCACACAGGGACTACCTAAATGATCAATGTTGTCATTATGATTCAGTCAGCCAGATGTTCAAACTGGATTTTGCATTCTTAACCCCTCTGATAGGTAGATATTGGTGTTAGAGGATTTAAGCTGTTCTGAGTAAAGCTTTTGCAATTGACTGATTGACATTACAGCTGACATTGTAAATTTGACAATGCCAATGGTGTTCAAGTTATTATGGTTTTTATTCACAGTGCTATTAGTTGAAGTAGCATTTATTAAATTGTTTTCATATAACAAAATGGTTGGGGGTTGAGGAACAGTCTGAAGCTTCATAAAGGGCTTAATGGATTGAAAAGTTTGGGGACCTCTGTTCTAAACAGACCCAGTCTGCTTAGCTTTTGAATTTTAGCAAGGACAACCAGGTTCTGCCATCTACTAAGACATAAAACACTTACTTATCTTATAACTGCCTGAAGTTACATAGGTGAAGTTGAAGATGCCATAAGGGAAAAATAATCATTGTCCTCATGATTGTACACTCAGTTCTATCTATATTTCAGCTTCCCCAGGACAGAACTTGCAAATGGAATAACTTTCCATTATATTACTCCTCGACGTACGACCACAATGGAGCCCAACATTTCCGTTGTTCAGCAAGACAGTTGTTAAGTGAGTTTCACTCCATTGTACCACCTTTCTTGCCACAGTTAAGCGAATCACTGCAGGTGCCAATTTAGTAACACGGTTGTTAAGTGAATCTGGAGGGCCCACTGACTTTGCTTGTCAGAAGTTTGCAAAAGGTGGTCTCAAGGCCCTGGGATACACTGCAACCATTACAAATATGAACCAGTTTCCAGGCATCTCATTTTGATCATGTGACCATGGGGATGCTGCAATGGTCATAAGTGTGAAAAATGGTCATAAGCTACTTCTTTCATTGTAACTTTGAACGGTCGCTAAATGAATAGTTGGATGTCAAGGACTACCTGTATTAACAAACCTTTGGGTACTTCCCTTTCCGGGGCCTTCAACATATTTGACTAGCCACTGCTCAGTTTCCCTTCCAAATTATGAAGGATGAACATCCACGAACATCATATAGAGGAATATTATCCTAACTGATTTTCAAAGATTATTTCTATCCACCCAAGCAGTTTCTAATTCCCCTGGATTAAAAGATTCTTGCTTTTCCCAGCTGCAGAAAAATGTCTTCAGGCATGATTATGTATACTTAAATTACAGCTAAACTGAAGAGAGGGGTACAGACTTATTAACCAGTAAACCGAACTATGTTATTTGCATTATTATCTGGTGAGATTCAGACCTCAGCTATGAACCCTGCATAAATTGCCTGCTTCTGTTCAGCAAAATTCCTGTAGAGCAGGAGTGGCTGCCTCATTTGAGTCTGTAAATGAAAAGTTTCTTTTTTCTCCTTTAAATTTACCCTGAAGAGTACATGTGCCAAAATATACATAAACTTTATTGGGTCAGTTCCAGGCACCAGCCGTTCATGTTCTCCTTTTAGTTCCTCCCCTTTAGTTTTCTTCCACCACTTGCTAGGTAGTATGGCTAGTCCAACGTTTCTACTGAAATCCCCCACCCACCCCTGCCCCCACCCTTTCCTCCTTGTATGTCCCAGCCAAAATCTTCTCACCCTCCCTTCTAGTCTGGGACACGTAAGCTTGCCTAGTGCCCACCTCCACGTTTCATCATTAGAACTGTCTCAGAGGTGTGACATCCATTCCTCCACAGATGCCCTGCCGAGGAGAGAAAGAGACCCCGGGGCACCGTGAAACTTTCTTTAGCAGGAACAAAACCCAAAAATAATTCTCCAGTCTTCTACCACTTAAGATAAGGTGAAAACATGAAGAACGGCTGGTAAGCAATAGAATCTATTTCTAAAAGAAGCGCTCTCTAAAATGGAGAAACTTCAATGGACTGTATTCAAAACAGTCTATGTGAGCTGAGCTCTTTATTATCCTTTTATTTCCCTACGGCAATCATGTATGTGTAAGAAAAGGATGTTTGAGAGAATGACTCCAACTCAAACCGTTTGGTTGTACGGAGAAATAAAATGTGGTCGACCTGAAATGTTTTAAGAAGCATTGCTCGCCTATTGTGTTAAGGAAGGCTTATGGAAATTGATTGGGAGTGTGCGTGTGGGGTGTTTTATTGCTTTTTTATTGTTTTTATATTAGGTTTTTATTTTTGTAAACCATTTGGGGTCGCTGAGAGTCAGTTGGGTGGCAAAATAAATTTTAATAAATAAATAAATGTCATGGAATTATGTATTTAAGTTACATAGAATATATCCATGACTCTGAAATGAAAATGTATGAGATTATTAGGTAGTTTATGTTTAAGAAGTGTTTTTTTTTCTCCCTCCTTGCAGGCAGTATCAATTTCTCTTTTCTGTGAGTTGCTTTCTGGAGATTCTGACATCAGTTACTGTTCAAGGACAAACAAGTGAGAAACATCTTCATTACATTTACTAAATGTTTGGTAATCAAAATGGTTCTTCTACTATATTCAGGTATAGGTAAGAGACTACTGTAGATTGATTTGCTACACAGCTAAGTTATTCTTCTTGTGCAATGAATGAGAAAAGGAACCAAAAAGTAGAAATTGGGGAACATAGAATCTGATGGCTGACTTTTCAGCCAATCTCTCCATTGTGACACATTTTTTTGTTTTATTACTGCATTAAAAAAAGAACAGAAATATATTACATTTTTGAAATGAAAGATCTAGGAATAGACATGATTAAAGATTATATTGGAACAATATGGAGAGGATATGAATGGAATTGAGCTAGAAAGATTAATATATGGTCTAAAATATGAACATCAATATTTTATAGAAGTTGTTATATATATACACACAGATGTGCACCCATCCACCCATATACACCAAGCACTATCCAAGGATAAGTGGTCAAACTTGCAAAGAATTGCAAAGAACGATCATTGCCTTTCTAGGACAGCCTTCCTAAATTTATTACTGCCATATGTGTTGGTACTACATTTCCCCAAATTTCCATCTAACTGTGATAATGCTGGCTAAGATACTGGGTGGTTGCATTGGAGGTCAGGGGAAAAATTCTCCTTTCAAACTGTAACTCTTTCTTCCAGCCTCTAGATGGATCTTCCACCTTTACTTGAAACAGTGCATAGGTTGAATTCTACAGCTAACTGGAACCAATGTTTAATTTTCCTTTTCGGTTTTTTTTTTTTTAGGGTGGGTGAGGTTGGTACATTAAATAGGCTGAGATTTTTTTTCTTTTCCACATATACTGAACACAGTGGTGCTTTAGAGAGAGTGAAATGGCTGTTTGTTCTTGCAAGAAACCTTCAGTTATGATTCCAACACTTGCCCTCATGTAATTGAGCTTGTTGTATAATCAGAGGAAAGAAAGAGTATAAGAAGAAAATATTTGAAATATGAAAGGAAAAGAGAAGAATGCCAAAACTTTGACAGGTTTTGCAAAAGCAGAGTTGGCGCTTGCTTATTTTGATTTTAGTATAGGTATGAACTTCACTAACTATCTAGGTAGAAACCAGTGGTAGTATTCGACCGGTTCTGCCCGGTTCTGGAGAGCCAGTAGCGGCGATGAGCAGTGGAGACCGAACCGGTTCTCTTTGCTGCTCTGTGTTTGGCCCACCCACCCGCCCGGACTCCCATACTCACTTTTCTGGCCAGAATTCAAAGCGCAGCTGCTTTGCACGGCACAGAACAGCACTGCGTGGCAGCTGCTGCAGTGACCAGCATCGTGCAGGCTTGCAGGAGGCAAGTTAGAATGCCTCTGCGCCTGCACAAAGTGCGTTTGGCGTGCGTGTGCACGCAAAGTGTGCATGCATGCAAAGCGCAGCCACCAAGCCACGCCCACCAAACCGGTGGCAGCTTTATTTGAATACCACCACTGGTAGAAACTTTTTAAAGTTGTCCAAACCACAAACTCTGCACTACAGAACTATTTCTAGAATAAACCTATCCTAGGGAAGACAGAGGACCTTCAGAAATAGCAGGGAAAGAACTTAGATTCTCCACTGCTTTCTCCAATATAAATTTATCTCACCTGTAGTATCATTTGACTTCATGAATGTAGCTTCTTTTGATTTTAGCTGTATAAAGTGTGAACTTATTTGCGCTTTATGTTTTTATACATGATCCTAAATAAATAAATTGATTTGTTTTCTGCAACTCCCTCTAAGGAGATTGCTCCAGGTCATAGACCATTCAACAGCAAAATGGACAGAGATAACTGCAGTATGTCTAATCTTGTTGCAGGGTTTCCAATAACATTCAATTCCAACATGAGAATGGACCTCTGTCCACGAACCAAGATTGGCCAGGATGATCTACCAGGCAAGTAAACACAAGTTATTACACATATCTTCCTTCATATAAACTGAACATCTTTTTAAAGGACCGTTTATTTTTGTTCCATGAAGTGAATGTTGCTGAAAGAAGCTGCTTTATATATTATTTAATTATACCATCTTTTATTATTTTCAAGGTGATACACCTTTATATTTCTAATGTGAACTATTAAGAAAATTAACTGTCCTAAACTGAATTTTGAACAACAGCAAAGTTGAATTACTCAGAAAATACACATCGAAAGCAAAAATAGCAGGGAGAAAAGATCTAACTACATCATTTTGTGGTTTACTTTTTTGTCAAATATTTGTATTCCTTATTTCAGGTTATGACTTAATTTCGCAGTTCCAGCTTGATAAAGCTGCTTCCACAGGCATTATCCAACGTGTGGTGGGCTCCACATCTTTACAAGTTGCTTACAAATTAGGTACCAAAGCAGACTTCAGGATTCCTACTAGGTAACATTTTTAATTGATTTTTCTTATTATTTCTTTTAAGATTGTCTATTTATTTGACTGAGCAGCCATTTTTAAAAGAAAGAAATTGTGCAGGCTAGAAAGCTGGTGACTATGAATTTTAGCTCCTCTTTAACCATGAAAGCCAGCTGGGTAACCTTGGGCCTGTCTCTCTGAGACCAACTCACCTCACAGGGTTGTTTCTGTGGAGAACACAGGAGACAAAAGTGTGTGGGATATGTTTGCCACCTTGACTTATTTGTAAAAATAATAAAGGTAGAATATAAATTAAAAAAAATATCCTTCTCATATTGAGGAATAATAGCCAGAATAATAGCTGCATTTGATACCCTTCTGTACAATTATAGTGCTGGAAATTTAGGGCTAGTAATTGAGCGGGAGCCTACAAGTATAAAGAAAGTTCCCCAGTAGTTTTATATTCCTGATATATACTGAAGATTATGAGAATGGTGAAAGTGTGAGGGCAGAGTTAATGTAATCATTCTCATATTCAATAAATAGGGAGAAAATCACCCAGGCAAACACGACCCTATAGTTCTATCACCACTTTTTAATGGACATGTCTTAGTTTTTATTCATTTATATTTATATTCAGGTCTAAATATACAGACACTGGTACTTCAGTTTTAGGTACCTTCTTTCCGAGTATTCATTGGAAATATATAATGGGCATGAGAAAACTTTCCTCAAATTTATAAGAGGCCCAATGCTATTTTCCTTAGCTTTTATGAAGCATGACTTTCCATTGCCAAGCTTTTAATGTATTTTGGAATTAAAAATGAAAAACATTAAGCAAGGATATTGGACAGCATTGAATGAAAAAGGCTATATTCTGATAAAACATGTTTCTGCTCTGCAGAGTAAACCATTTAAACCTTTAAAGTATTTACCCAGCAATCAGCATCCTGTGTTGGCTGTCAAGAGCTCATGAAATCTGGCTTAGTGGGGCATCATTCTAAGAGTTAAATTAAAAGGGGTGTTCAACCCAGGAATGAATTGCAGAAGAGATCTCAAATAAGTTTAGAACGTATTTTGTTCAGTTCGCCTAACCTGAATGTGAGTAATACATTGGTCCCTAAATCCGCCTAATAAAGCTGTTATCCCTCACCACACTGCACTATCATTTATTTTTACATGAAGCATGTAATTATTTTTAATATTAGTCTGGGATACAACAGTAGCCAGCTCTTATGTGGGGAATGTGTGAGCTTTTCTATAATTTGTCTGGATATGGTTGAAAGGGCTCTGTTATTTTCTTGAAATGTAGGTCTTGAACCTACCACCATCTAGCGGCCGTGGAAGCTCAGTGGTGCTGTTCACCAAAACTGGTGCTGAAAGATGCTCAATTATTGTATTGATGTAAACGAGCTTCAGTAGATCGCCTTTTTCTTCTCATTGCATTTGCATGATTTGTAACTGACTTATTTTAGTTTTGTGGTGGTTTTTATTCTTGTCGTTGTAATCCCTAGACAGAGATGATTATAATTTAGTATGACTGTTGCTGTTGTTTAAAAAATCCTGACAAATTTCCCCTCACTCGGTCCAAGAGGAATTGCAAAAGTAGTTGGAATTATGGGTTAATTCCTAAGATTAAAAATGTTACTAACAAAAGTAGGAGTGTAGCAAACCTCTGTCAGACGCATCCAAATATGAATCTAATCTCTTGCAGGCTTTATTTCAGAATCTATTGTGTTTTCCCCCTAGTTTCCTATTTTTCCTCTTGTGTTTCCAACAATAGACTTTATTTTATTCTTTTTCATGTGTTTCTTTGCAACATAATAATATAAGAATTGCATTGTGTTGAATTTTGCATTGTGAGAAAAATGCTAATGTAAAATTAATTTGGAGATAGGCTTAGGGGGAAACTGTCATGTAGATAAGGGTAAATTCAATTATTGTATTTTGCCAAAATCCCTCACATCGGAATTTATCACCAGAAATTGAAGGGAAAAATAAGAATGCATCTTTATAGCTTCTTACAGGCAACTTAATCCAGAAGAGGTTATTTACAGTTCAGCTTTATTAATTACTGATAGAAACCTTTCTTTATATAGTAGCATTTTTCAAACAGCTTTGCACATTTATTCTACTCACAAACAATAATAGGTACAAATAAAAGCTACATTTTAAAATCTGAGTGGATATGTAGAGTCCCACAATTATTTCAAGGTTTACTTGTATTAAAACAGATTTAACAGAGTAATAGATTTGGAAGGGACCTTGGAGGTCTTCTAGTCCAACCCCTGCTCAAGCAGGAGACCCTATACCATTCCAGACTAGTGGCTGTCCAATCATCTCTTAAAAACCTTCAATGATTGGGCAGTGGGGGAACATTCAAGGTATACTTTCCACACACACCCAAACATAAATTTTTTTTAAATGATTTATTGAGTTTGATCAGACAACAATCTTTAAGAGGAAGAAGACTGAGGATATATTTGTAAATATGAATCGAAGAATGTAAAGCCTTTTTTTCTTTATTGCAAATTCTCTCATTCCCCACCCACCCCCAGTCTTTGCTCTCAGTGGAATGCTTGCTTGCTCTTTTCATAATCGTTCTCATTAAAAGCTCGATTAGAAGCACTGCATTCTATCAAAAGCTAAAAGATTAATAATGAAATTCTGTGGCAGTCTTGTAAGGTTGTAAAGCCCTTGAGTTAACATGAAAAATTGGAGTACACAAGTCGTATATCAGACAGTAAACATTCTAATGGATTGTTTGCAATCTTCCAAAAAGAATGGGATTTTTTGGGGCTGGGGGGCCGGGGAAGGACTTGGAACTTGGTTGTAAAGTAGTAGATGAATTCTATGTGTCGAAATTTATTTAATTAATTAATTAAACTTGTATGCCACCTGTCTCACTGTTGAGTGACTTTGGGGCAGAGATGGTATTCAGCAGGTTCTGACCAGTCCTGGAGAACTGGTAGTGGAAATTTTGAGTAGTTCGGAGAACCGGCAATTACCCCCTCTGACTGGAGATTTTGCTGTATCCTTCCCCTGCCACGTCCACCAAGCCACGCCCACAGAACCAGTAGTAAAAAAATTTGAATCCCACCACTGCTCTGGGACGCTTACAACATCACGAAAAAGGGGATACAGAATAAAACTTTAAAACAAGAAATGCAACAGGAAGAGGGTGGTGCCACAAGAACAGTTCTGTATTCAGAAACTCAACTGTCAGCAGACTTTTGTGTAAGGTAGAAAAACAATGCTTAATGTTTTAAAATAAATCTCTTCTACTTATCAATGTTTTAAACGTGACTGCAATGTTCTTCTCTCATGAAAATGTATAGGGCTGCAGCATCTCATACTTGAGTGTGCCTCACTGATGCCATGGCAGCATTACTTGCAATCACCAATTTATTTTTGCTGAAGGACTCATATAGTCTAGTGATGGAAAAGTGCTGAAGAATTTCTGAGTCCAGTTTTTAAAATGGCATTAGCTAAAATACTAAAATAAAGTTCCACTTATTTCCCTACTTCTGAACGGTTCGCTTTTTTCTTCTAAGTAACACCACTTATTTTTTTCAAAGTCATTGTTTCCTTTATGACAGGGGTCTCCAACCTTGGCCACTTTAAGACTTGGGGACTTCAACTCCCAGAATTCCTCAGCCAGCTGGCTGGCTGAGGAATTCTGGGAGTTGAAGTCTCCAAGTCTTAAGGTGGCCAAGGTTGGAGACCCCTGCTTTATGATATTGCATAGTGAGCATATATTAAGATATTTAAGGTGTAACTAGGGAGAATTTAGAGGATACTAAAACTATCAGGATTAGAATGAGGGTGTTGTTTCTGCTGTTTATTAAAATAGTCTATTCTGTCTTTGTGGAAGCTTACAGTTAATTAATGTTATTGCATATGTCTTAGCTTATTTGTTATTAAATATTACAATAAATAAAATAAAATATGTTTACAAATGCTGCATCAGGGTAGGCTAATAAATGCTAATATGTATATTCAGTATTTGTTGGCATTGGCAAGATTCATTTCGGAATAAATAATTTTGTGATTATTAGTCACTGCTTCCAATTTGCATATCTCGAAGGAAACCTTGGAAACTAATAAAAAGCAGAAGATTATCTGTTTCATTTCATCAGTTTTTCTTTCCCCCCAATAAATATATAAAGTGAACATCTTATGGCTGGTATATTTTCCAGCAAGGACCGGGCATAATATAAATTCATATAGCCTAAATTTATAGCCTGGAAGGGGTGAAATACACTCAGTTTTCCAGTCAAACTAAGTGCATCTAAAGTCGTTATTTCAGTATGTGAATCCAAAGTTTGGATTTCAGCCATAGTCCTTGATGGAAAATGATTGAATGTTAATCTGAATGTTAATGTGAGACAGTGCTGCCAATGCTTAAGAAAAAGAAAAAAATCCCACTATCAATCTGGCTGATTCAATTGTCCAAAATTTGAAATGCATATGATCATCTAACACAATGCTATGCTGAGTCATATGAAGAGATTCTTACGGACTGATGCATGGAGTTGTGATTACTTCTTTGTTTGTTCAATTGATTTATTAATATATGAAAGTATAGAAGGAGAAAAGAAAGTAGGTATAGCATAGATGAGCAAGGATGTGTTTATGTGTGTATAGGTTTCATTTATATTAATGAAAGAAAAGTAACCATAATGTATATTGGGTGAATATATGTATATTTGTATAAGGTATAGAAGAGAATATATAAACAGATACAGATTGATATAAAGGCAATGTCAAAGGAAGTTGTTGTTGTTAGTTGCAAAGTTGTGTCCGACCCATCATGACCCCATGGACAATGTTCCTCCAGGCCTTCCTGTCCTCTACCATCCTCCAGAGTCCATTTAAGCTCACACCTACTGCTTCAGTAACTCCAGCCAGCCACCTCATTCTCTGTCGTCCCCTTCTTTTATTGCCCTCAATCTTTCCCAGCATTAAGCTCTTCTCCAGTGAGTCTTTCCTTCTCATTAGGTAGTCAAAGTATTTGAGTTTCAACTTCAGGATCTGGCCTTCTAAAGAGCAATGAGGGTTGATCTCCTGTAGGAGTGACTGGTTTGATCACCTTGCAGTCCAAGGGATCAGCAGTGGTGCAAAACATTTAAAATTCCATATGTTTTAAAGTGAAACACTCTGGTTTGAATTCAGATCCCTTGTTTCAAGTCCAAAACAGCTTGTGAAAGATTTTGAATTTGAAACAATTTGTGTGATTATAAAAGAAAGCCCTTTTGCACATAAGATTATGTGTCTTTTGCAAGTTGATCACAGTCAGCACTGAAATTAAAGATTTTAAAACTTGTTTTAAGTGTAATTTTATCTAGCGGTCCTGTTGATCTCTGTGCTTGGGATGAAGAGATGATCCAGATATCACTACAATTACCTCTAGCATTTTCAAACTGTAATGCTGACTCAACTATTTTGCATTTTGAGGAAGTGAAGTACCTAAAAGTCTGGTAAGTTTAAGGCTTGTGGACTTCAACTCCCAGAATTCCTGAGCTAGCATGACTGGAGGGGGAATTCTGGAAGTTGAAGTCCACCAGACTTAAAGCTGTCAAGTTTGAAGACCCCTGGCTCAGGTCAATGACCACAGTTGGCTAGTTTGAAACTCAGAGAAAGTATGGCTAGAATCTGAAATATCTTTGCAATAATTACAGGAAAGAACTCTTATTACTTTGCTTCTGCAGCATGATGTAATGATTAAGGTATTGTGCTATCTTTAAATCTGCCAGAAAAGTACAACATGTGATTTTGTACTCACTTTTTTCCAGCCCAATGTACTTCATAGGCTTGTTGTATCAAGGTGAAATGAAATGAAGGGAGATCCCTGTGTAAGTCATTTGAGATCCTGAAGAACAGATCAAGTATAAACCTAAAAAATTAATTAATTAAAAAATGACTAGCCAACTATTCTCTTTGTATGCAAGGAGCCCACTGGGATTTGGGGACCAGAATGAAGAACCTATATAGACTGTAGCTAGGACCATTTTGCAAATAAAATCAACGTTGGAAAGCACATTTTAAATAATATTTTTAAAAGGGTGCACCTATGATATTTAAAATTTGTAGAAGCTGGGAACACAAACAGATTTTCTTTGAGAACTAATACCTACCCACCCTATGTGCTAAATTCTTCCACATATTTTCTTACAAAAGTCTGCAAGAACAAGGTTGTGTGTCAGAAATAAGAAATGTTGTTTTGGAAACAATAAATCTGATTTCTCAGTTTGTGATGACTTATATACTCATGTCTTGCAGTATTCATGAAGACACCACAGGGAAAAAAAAGTACATTAGACCCAGAGGAGGAATGGATTAAGGTTTCTTTATAGTAAAACGTGTGAATCATCTCAGATTTTGTACATAACCACAAACCTAATGAGAGAGATCAGACGGGCATATAGGAATGGAGGATGAGATTTATTCATTGCTTTCAGCCCAATAATCTATTACTGAAGTTAATTTCAACACTTTACAGCCATTTGAGATGAGTTAATCACATACTCCTGCAATCATTGGTGGCCTCTGACAGGCAATTTGTCCTCTTTTCTTAATTAAACATTTCTTGAGATGCTTATTGAAGAAAGAACAAAGGCACATACATAGAAGAAGCCAATTCCCCAAGTGAGAAATTTAGCATAGCAAAGGTGCTTTTTCAGGAGACAACTGGATTTTCTTGTTTTTTCTTTGAAGACATTTCACTTCTCAACCAAGAAGCTTCTTCAGCTCTGACTGGATGGTGAGGAGTCAGAGCTGAAGAAGCTTCTTGGATGAGAAGTGAAACATCTTCAAAGAAAAAACAAGAAAGTCCAGTTGCCTCCTGAAAAAGCACCTTTGGGACAATGGAAAACAGGAGGGACAAATATTCAGGTAGTGAATAGTATTGGAATGCAGATTTTGACTAAAGCAAATCTGAAGAATTTCGTACAGCCAGGGAAAAAAAAATCTGTTTTGATAGTATAATATTTAATCTGAACTACCGCTTTACAAATGGAAAATGATGTAGAATGTGGGATAGCTTGACTTCAGCAATCTGATTAGCACTCTTACATTTGAATTAATCCATAGTACTGTTTTGTTATTGGTAAAAGGTCGTGAGCTTTTAGGCCTTGTCTGGATTTAATTCTTCCACAGAGTAAGCTAATATTACTGCATTTCTCTCTGACAGCAAAATGGAATTATTGGTTCAGATTGGGATAAATCTGTTTGTTAATCTTGTCTTTAGATAGTGGCTTCTTGATCTTTCTTTGAAATGATAATGTACCTCAATTAACATTGAGTCAGCCAAGTAAGCAGCCTGTTTTATTTGCATTTTTTAAAAATAGATCCTTGTATCCTCAAGGACTACCTGATCTGTACTCCATTCTGACTACTTTTCGGATGACTGGGAATACCATTCGGAAATCCTGGAGCCTATGGCAAGTTTTAGATTCTTCTGGAAAGGAGCAAGTTGGACTGAAGATTAACGGCCAAGCCAAAAGCCTTGATTTTTCATATAAAGCAATTGATGGAAGTCTCCAGACAGCATCATTTTTGGATTTACCTTATCTTTTTGATTCCCAGTGGCATAAAGTTATGGTCGGTATAGAAAAGAAATCTGTCACACTTTATATTGACTGTGCTAAGATACAAACTTTAGCCGTAAAACCAAGGGGGAAGATCAATATTGACGGCTTTACCACATTGGGAAAATTGAAAAATAATCCGCAAATTTCAGTTCCGGTAAGTTGTAGACATTTCCCTTTACATCAAAAAGGTTTTTCAATTTTTAAAGAAATTGTATATGGTAATAGAGGCTAAGAGTATAATATGCTTCAAATGGAACTAAGAAATGGTTCAATAGTTTTGACGTCATAAGGAAAGAGTATCACTTAATAAGGTGGAAAGAGTATCACTTAATAAGGTATAAAGACTGAAACCTCATTATAACTGAATATTTGGACATTTGTTTTAAGTAAACATTTCAAGAACTGCATAGCTACAAAGGGAAATAGGATGAAAACAGGGGATAATTAATAGAGCAGACTAAAAAGGAAGCTGGATCCAGTGAAAATGTATGTCTTAATTCATTCCAAGGGTACGTAACTAAAACCTGATATTTTTTTAGGGAAAATTTAATCATCACTCTGAACTATATTATAATTAAGCAGCTTATCAAAATTAATTATGCTGTCAGTTAAAATATGTGAGTTGGCTTATGGGTATAGAATTTATTTCTGGTATAGAAGACTATCTGAAAAAATCTCAATGGAAACTGTATCTTCCTGACGTGGAAGATATTGCTAGGAAGATCACAGTTCCAAAATCTAGACTCCACATGCTTTTTATGTAAGAGTAAAACTAAGCATTTTTAAAAATAAAACTAGCACTTTATTTTGGAACATATCTTGCATTTGGCAAGAGATTGAGAATCTCCAGACATTAACCAAATTGGAGCAATGGATTCAATTGAGAAAAAAAATGTTTGTTGGTGTGAACTTTTATTCATTTTGCTAGATAGAATTCAGTGAAGAATCTGCCACCTGGGGTAGCAGAAAAGAGGGCATGTAAACCTTAGATATCTTTGAACAAAGGCAGCACTTTGCATTATTTCTAACAGCATAATAAAGCTTTATTCCAATGATATAAAACAAAGGCATGAACAAATATATGGAAAACCAGTTTCGCAGGCTCTGTAAGGGCCTTTCCATTCATTATTCACTTTTATGTCTACCTCATGGTACTAAATTTGCAATGCAATCAATCTGCATTAACTAAATTAGTCTTTAAAAGGGGAACACTCCAGTTTCAGACTGATTTACACTTTCATTTTCTGGAAAAAAACAACAACCATTCTTTCCTATCCTATTAAATTTAACCATCTCCTGCTTTCACAAATGAGCACAATCACCATCAATATGATACCCACAGAGTTCTCTCTTAGCATCCAGCATTATGTGATTTTGTTGTCTGGTTATTTTGTAAGAAAAAAGGAATGCTAGCATGCTACTGGTCAGTGTTAGACTTAAATTTAATCTGTTTCCAACAATGCCAATGGCCTCCTGTAATACAGGCAAACTCAGAAAATGAAGTGACAAGTTCTAGAGCATGGTGTTTTGTTTTGAAATGAGCCACCTGCCCATAAGATTCCAGCCTATCAACCCAACAATAGCAATAACAATAGCACTGCTTCATAGTGCTTTACAGCCTTCTCTAAGTGGTTTACAGAGTCAGCATATTGTCCCCAACAATCTAGGTCCTCATTTTACCCACCTCGGAAGGATGGAAGGCTGAGTCAACCTTGAGCTGTGAATTCCCGGAACTTCTTAAGCTATTGATGGTGAATTCTGAAGGTTCATATGGGCCTAACTGGATCGTGAATATGGCATACAGTTTTGAAATACTTACTGATGAATGAAGTGTTATGACATGAATTCCAACTCACTGTTGACTATTTCTTAGTTTAAGGAATAAAATAAAATGGACTTAAATAGGTTTAAGGTTTGAATATGATGGAGATATGATTGTGTTCCAGTAAATAGTTGCCATAAATATGTCTATACATGTATGTGTGAGGTCCCATGTCTAACTTAGTGATTGGAGTAATTTATTTTATTCATGTTAAGCCAGGCACTGGATGGTATGTATCAGGTAGTATTCATAATCCTACTACTAGTGTAAGGAATATACAAAACTTGGATTAAATGATGCTAAACTTAATTCTTATAAACCCTTTCGCAAAAATATCAATAGCCATGCTTTAAAACAGAGATTTAAAGTAATAATGAATGTTTTGGCGCAGTGGTTAAAATGCAGTACTGCAGTCTACTTCTGCTGACTGCCGGGTGCCAGCAGTTCAGCAGTTCGATTCTCACCAGCTCATGGTTGACTCAGCCTTCCATCCTTCTGAGGTCGGTAAAATGAGGACCCAGATTGTTGGGAGGCAATAGGCTGACTCTGTAAACTGCTTAGAGAGGGGCTGTAAAAGCAGTTATATAAGTCTAAGTGCTATTAATATAGGCTGGTGAGGATTTTGGTGTAGTAGTTAAAGCACTGGCCTAGAGACCAGGAGACTATTAGTTCGAGTCTTGCCTTAGGCACAAAGCTAGCCAGGTGACTTTTGGCCAGTCACCCTCTTGCAGACCAACACTCCTTATAATATAACAAATATAGCTTAAAATCTAATAATAAGTCAATAAGTTAATAAATCAATCATTGTCCTGCCATTTTATGCCATGAACTAATAATGATCCCAGCACGTGGCTATTTCTTATCCTCCTTGCAGTGACATTATGAAAAGGATGGCTGACTGCCTTTGCATGAAATGGTTAATGGTTTATTTTGTTAATTCAGTTGAATTAATTTTCTCTAACCATCACCATCTTTTAATGACCCCATAATCCCTTGTGGGTGGAGTCTGGGCATCTGAATGGAGCTGAGTGCTTACTAGCCGGATGCCCTTCCTGTTGCCAATGCAGAGTTATATTCAACAGATATATACTCATTGTGCCCAGTCAGAGAAATATACCTAGGATCGAACTCACCGCCTCCAGATTGTGAGGCAAGAACTCTACCTCTAGGCTACCGCACCACATTTAATTTTCTCTAATGAATTGGTAAATTGATAAATATGGCAGTATACCAGTTGTCCTTAACTTATGACCCCAATTGAGCCCCAAAATTTCCATTGCTAAGCAAGGCAGGATTTTGCTCCATTTTATAATCTTTTTTTCTGCCACAGTTGCCAAGAGAATCAATGCCACTGTTAAGTGAACCGTGCGGTCATTAAGTGAATCTTGGCTTTCCCCTTTGACTTTGCTTGGAGCTGGGAAGGTTATAAATGTTGATCATATGACCCCGGGACAGTGCAACTGTCATAAATGCATGCCAGTTGCCAAGCATCCGAATTTTGATCATGTGATCATGGGGATGCTGCAAGAGTCATGTGAAAAACGGTCGTAAGTCACTTTAAGTTCATGAGTTGAGTTGGGTTGGGTTGGGCTGGGTTGGAGTGAGGTGAGGTGGGGATAGAATGTCAAAAAAGGTAATATGAAAGTTATAACTTTGAATGGTCACTAAACAAATAGTTGCAAGTTGAGGACTACCTCTTTGTATTAATCAAGGTAAGAAGGCTAACTCTGCCTTGCTGTTTCCTGCCTCTTAGGTGTTACTATAAATACATTCAAAAAAAGTCTGAAGAGGTGAGCCTCTTCGGTGCAAGGAGACTTGCTCCATGAAACTGTAAGAGGAAGGTGCTAACTCATACTAAAGGGAAGTGGATTCCCCTCTTCATTCTTTTCCAGTCATGCACTGACAGGAGAGAGAAAGTGAAGAATGAGTTAATTACAGTCTTCAAGACTAATCTGTGTTAAATTAGTTACATCCCATAATTGGATTCTTACAAATTAGGCATAGGAAGCAAAGACATGTATATACGTGATTGCTTCCCCCCACACCCGGAAGATACCGGAAAACAAGGAGAATATTCAAATATATTAAATGATATAAAAGACAACTGCTCGAAAGTAACCCTCTGATTTTCAATGTGCATCCATCAATAAAGTCCTTTTGGCATTAGGAGCAGTTCCAAATGATTCAAAATCTAGTTATTTGCAGGTAATGTGCAATGAGAATGTATAAGGAATGTAATAGATTATTCCTCCCGAGTATCTAAAAGTTCCAGAATCTGGGGGAAAATGGAAGCAAAATCACTGACAATTGTTGTATGAAACATTAAAAAGAAAAGAATGAAATTGTAAATGTTTCAGAGAAAAGCAACTTTCATATGACCTTTTTTGACATTCTATCCCCACCTCACCTAACCACAATCCAGCCCAGCCCAACTCAACCCAATTCAACTCATGACCTTACCTGATATAAACTGAATTTTCAGGATTCCCATTTTGATAAGGCATTCAATTCTTTTATCCCAAATAAACTTTCATCTTTATTTGATATTCTGGAAGAAAATGAACCATATAGTAACATATTTTCCTCTATCCATCAAATATAATTTGAATTTAACAAAGTTGTTGACAGCATATTGATATAGCATTAGAATTCTAGTTCTCCAAAGGGGAAAAATGGCATGATTTTTTTTGGGAAGAATCCATCTAGAAAGTTATTACTTGTATACAGTGGAAATATACACAAGCCTAGCTTTTTTTTTTCAATAATAGGATCAAATTAATAACAATTGCTATTTTATATTTTTTATACATCAGTGTGCGAAAAGTGTGACTTTGCATGAAAGGGAGCTGCTCAGACTGAGTGAGACAAAACTGTGGACTTTTTTTTTTTGGCATTATTTGTGGTCTGGAGAGTTTAGGGGTGCAAAGGGTGTTCTAATGTTTTAGATCACAGGTGTTAACTCGCTGCATCACATTGATGTCACGTGACATTTTTCCCCTTCACAGAGCTGTGGTGGGTGTGATGCATCCAGCCCGTGGCCACGTATTTGACAACCCTGTTCTAGATGCTTAAGATAACAATGCAGTCTTTAACACTCCCAAATCTGACAGGGATCCTTTCCCTGTTAATTTGGGAATGGAGTTCTTGTCATGGTGTTTAACATTTGAAGTGACCTTCAAGTTAACCAAAGTAAAGTTGTCAATCTAAGTTGATAAAAATAAAATGAAATAAGCTAGGGGTTTTATCCTTTGGAATTGATTAGGCAAGTAAAACTTACAAGAGCAGATTTTTTCCTGAAAGAAAATATATCATAGAATTAGTTTTTTGTCCTTTGATTAAATCATATATATTTCTGCAAATTAGTATATTTGGTAGGAATGAGTATGATAAATAATATTCTTGGAAATGGTCCTTAAAGGTGAGTGTCTAAAGACTTGGGTTGCTAGCATTTCCTAAGCTTCATTCAAGAATTAAGTACAGGTAGTCCTCAGGGTTAAGACTATAATTGAGCCCCACAATTATGGTCGTATGTTGTGACTCTTGTTAAAGTAGATCATCATGTGACCAGACCCAATTTTACAATCTTTTTTGCAGCATTCGTTAAGCAAATGTGACAGTTGTTAAGTGAACCCATTGTTTCCTATGGAGCAGGGTTTTTTCCCCTCCAGAAACCAGAAGTAAATGTTGGTTTCTGGCAAAAGCATGATAAATTGTGATCATGTGACCATGGGACATTGCAAATGGCCATAAATGAGTCCTGGTGCAAATGCAGTCACATGATCATGGGGGTTGGGGGAAATGGATGTCAAAATCCATCCAACTGGGGTGCGGGTTCCTTTTTCAGGGTCCATTATAACTGCAAACAGTCGCTAAGCAACTGGTCATATGTTGAGAACTATCTGTTTTGCTTTGATAGTATTGTTTTCATGTGGCCAAGCTTGTATTGCTTACTTTTACCTCTGTTGTTCTGTTCTGTTCTAGCCATTGTGGTCCAGAGTTCATCCTCTGAGCGTGAAGAGCTTGCTTCAATTTTTAATTTATAATTATCAGCAGGTTGGAATTATCGGATAGGTTTTTGGGTCATCTCTCCCTCCTGGCCTCAATTTCCTATTTGGGAAGGGCGTCAGTTATTAACTATATCACAAAACTGTGAGGATCGAAGTGAGGAAGTCAGGCAATTCTCAATCCCCAGACTTAGGGCAAGGATACCCTCAAAGCAATAATAACCAGCCTCAGAGTGGTTCTGTTTAAAGATGGCATTCAGCAGGTTCTGACCAGTTCTGGAGAACCGGTAGTGGAAATTTTGAGTAGTTCAGAGAACCGGCAACTCCCACCTCTGACTGGAGATTTTACAGTATCCTTCCCCTGCCACTCCCACCAAGAACCGGTAGTAAAAAAAAATGAATCCCATCACTGGTTCTGTTGATGAATGATGATGATCAATAATCAGGTGTCTGTTTGATAAACTTTCTCTTTCTCTTACTGCCTCCCTTTTGCTGTCTTCCCAGTTTGAGATCCAGTGGCTGATGATTCATTGTGATCCTCGACGCCCTCAAAGAGAGACATGCAGTGAACTTACAATCCGGAGCTCGGTAATCTTAAGGGCAAAGCTTACTTTTCAACTTTGGAATACAGGTAGTCCTCGGTGTACGACCATCATTGAGCCCAAAACTTCTGTTGTTCAGTGGGACATTGGTTAATACCCCATTTGACAACCTTTTATTGCCACAATTGTTTAGTGAATCACTGCAGTTGATAAGTTAGTAACATGATTGTTAAGTGAATCTGGTTTCCCCATTGACTTTGCTCATCAGAAGGTCACAAAGGGGACCACTGGCACAGAGCAAAGGTCATAAATAGGACCCCAGTGGCCCATCATCTGAATTTTCTATCACAGGATCATGGGGTTTCTGCAAAGGTTGTAACTATGAAAAAGAGACCTTTTCCCAATGGTGTTGTAACTCTGAACTGCCACTAAACGAACTGTTGTAAGTCGAGGATTACCTGCATTCAAAAGGCCATAATGAATTTCTCCTTTGAAAGCAGATCTTTAAAAAGTCATTTGGGATGCTCTTCTTGCCCAGTGAAGCCCTTTGCAGCACAGATCAAGGCAGAAAGCGCTGCCAGGAAGGGTCCAATGCTAAAAGCACACCAAAGGGTTAAAAAGCTGGAGTCATTCAATCCCTCCTCTCTAGACATCAGGTTTCCTCCAGTCACACTACCCTCCTCCAACACTCATCCGCACAACAGCTGTGCTTTTATTTTTGTGCCGGTTGTGCAATTTGGAAGTATTTGGAGGGGCTCTGCTCTTCAGTAACTTTAAAACCCATTTGTGACAATCGAAGAAGTAACCATGGCTAGCTCGGGCTCCTGCACAAAGTTCCCCTGGCTCCTGTGGATTTTTCTGCAAGCCATGTGCCTTTGTCTAGCCCAAGTAAGTTTTGCCTAACTTTTTTTGTTATTCTTTTCAGATAAGCCAGACAATTGTAAAGGTAAGTCTTAAAACTACAGTAGAAGGATCCTTATTCAATTGAAGCATTGCTCTTTGATTCTAGTTTTGCTTGTCCATCAATTAAAACAGTGTGTATGTTTCTAGTGATGCTGCTATATTGGAGAAGGTATGTGATTATGCCTGGCTGGAGACCTTCCTAGAGGAAGTCCAAAGCCACCATAAAATGTATTGCTTGACATATCATAGTTTGAACCTGCACTAGTTATTTTTCCTAGTTGGTGAGGTTTCACAGGGAGCCTACATATCATTAGATACTCATCAGAGTAATCTAACTACGATCAACAAGTATGATTAGGTTGGGATCCATTCTACCAACTTTGATGCTTCCCTCCCCCAGCTACTTACAGTACCCTTCTGCTTTAAATCAGAATTTTCAGTCCAAGGAAACTCATTTGCTTTAATTCAGTGTAATCCACAAAGGATGCATCCTTCGGATTAAGTTAGGTGGATTAATTATCACTTCAGGTCCCTAAGCAATCTTCTCATAATTACAAACAGGATAATAAAAAGGGATCATTTCCTCCACATTTATGTGTGATGTGGGCTTCCAACTGATCTTAGTGATTATGAATATAGATCCAAAATTGATTTTTTTAAAAAAAGAATTAATTACCAGATAGTGATATACATAGGTAATAGTACTGAGATAAATAAATGGAAGAAGTAAGTTGAGTGTGGAAGAAAGCATTTTACTGTGGGAAACACATGATGGGAAACATTCTGTGAATTTCACTTGGCACACTTATTTGAGGATCTTGAAAAGATGATATGTTTCCTAATAACAGTCATTCATTGTTTTGTGGAAGAATTCTCTAATGACTGACACACGGGAAAGCAGAATTGCATATATACATGTATTCTTTTATGAGCTTACATTTAAAAAAGGTGAAAAGCTCTCATTTTTTAAAACCAAGTCTTCAAAGAATGACAGAAAATCAGCTGAGAGTTTACTTAAAATTATTAATATGTAATAATGCATTTCTCCAAAATGAAATGTTAATGTTTTGAAGTACAGTGAGCAAATCCAACATATTTTATTTGTATAGACTCAAGTTAGCTTTGCTAGACACTAGAAAAAAAATTCTACCTATGTTTTTACAAAGAAAATGAATGTGTACTATGCAGCCTTATGATTAATTGTGACATAAAGCAGGTTACTTTGCAAGCAACAATAATGACTCTTTTGCAGAATTAAAAATACCTTTTAAACTACTAGTTGTGAGAAGCTGAAATTCTCACATTCTGAAATGAATAGGAAAACTGCTTTTCCTCTCAGCCATTTACCATTTACTGAAAAGTATGGAAGTCCAAAAAAGGGGCTGTTAGAAAATCACAGAGCATCTACTGTGAAGTCAGAATTTCATCACCAAAAGGAAACCGTGTGTCCTATAGGCCTTGAATTCCCTCCCCTAAATTATTTTTGAAAATGAATGGTTTGGAATTTTCCAAGTCTCTTGGGACTTACAAAAATAGTTAGAAAGAAAGAAAGAAAGAAAGAAAGAAAGAAAGAAAGAAAGAAAGAAAGAAAGAAAGAAAGAAAGAAAGAAAGAAAGAAAAGTGGGGAAGAAAGAAAGAAAGAAAAGTGGGGGAGGAAGGAAGGAAGGAAAGTTATAGAGGACAAGGTTTTATTAAGGGCTATGGTATGTGTGCATATTTAATCTCTTACTTATGTACATATCTCAGAAGATAAGCCTGGATATTGTCTATACAGTAATGGCAATTTCACTTAAACTCCTTTGTGTAGGTACCATTTTATTTTCTCTATTTCAAATTGATTTCCCATTTTACAAGGGAGTGAAGTTAATGGGGCACAATTTTAAACTACAGGACATTATTTTATTGCATTTTATCACAGGGCCAGTCATTGTGAGAAGACACCTTCTTTTCCTGTTTAGAATGAAATACAAATATAACCCTTCCTTTTCATTCACCTATTATTGCCTTAAGGGGCTTTTTCCACTAGGATTTACTATAGGTCAGTGGAGATTCTCAGTCATCCAGGTCATAGTTGTCTCAAAGCTGCTTTTTTTTCTTCAATAGGCAACTAGAGAAGAAAAAGTTTTGCTTCTCATCCAAGAAGCTTCAAAGCTTCATCAGAAGTTTCAGAAGCTTCACCCCATCATCAGAACTGATGAAGCTTCTTGAATGAGAAGTAAAAA